ACACATAGCATGTATTGGAATTATTGCTGAAGGAAAAATCATCTGAGGTTTCCAAATTAGCTGAATGTTTTAGGGGGGAAAAGCCTTAGGGGATGCTGCTGCAAGCTATGAGGGTCTAAGGCTCTCCACTAAGATAAAGTTGAGATCTCCATGAAAGTGTTTATGGCACTTCTTATAAGAGAACTGTCTCTCAACAAGAATGAGGCCATGCATTGAATCTGGAAAGATCAGATAACTCAGCAATTCAAATATTAGCTTTACAGCTGACAAAGGACTGACTGAAGAGACCTGTTGAGAGTCAAGTCAACTATAATGGTAACTATGAGAGCAGAGAGATGAAGAACGAGATACCAGCTATTTACATTAACAGTTTAAAGAATAAAAGTAGACTAGGAAAGTAGCTTCTGCTAAAGGAAATGCAATCTGTCCCTTTTCCAGACAATCTCTGCCAAACCACCAAATTTCATTAATCCTAAGATAAAAGGTCTAAGTCATAGCAACATTGAAATTTTCAGTTCATCACAAAACTTCAAAGCTTCATGGTACTGATTCATTTATTTCACAACTTAGCACATTACTTCTTACAGCTCATAGGGGAGCACGGCTCACACAAATGGTCATTTAGGAATTATCATGTGAGTTTCTGTCAAGGAGTAAAAGGCTCAAAGATTTTACTCTTTAAGATGCTCCCCAGACTCTGAGCTTTACCTTCTCACAGCAAGCAAAATGCTTTTTGCAATAACCTATGTCGCATTTACTGAACACCTCCAGCTTCACTGATTCTCCAATCTCTGGCACTCCTCTGCAACTTTCAACCACCTCCCAAGACATTCCTTTCATACCAAAAGAAATTACTCTATTTCTTCCACTGGGAGGATTAATAACATCCATTAAACTTTTCTGCACTCCCATCCACTGAATGTCTTGCCCCTCCCTCCTAACTACCCACTCTTTTCTCAAAATACCAATTTCTCATGAAGTAAAATCCCTCCTCCTGAATAAAGCTTTAGTTTCCTCATTATCCACCCTGAAGAAAACTGTAATTTTAAGAAAGAATACATTTTAAATACTTTGTATAATACTGCAGAATTTTTATGCAAAGAACATCTTTATCCTGAATTTAGAACCAAATTACTTTGATCTAAAACAGAGGCATTGGGACCTACATTTATGAGCACATAGAAGGCTTCTACATTTAAAGGACAGCAGAACCTAGGATAATCTAGCATTATACTCTGTATCCACCTACCTGTAAACACACACATGTACATCTAAAATGTATAAACAGACACCCACCCTCCCAGGGAGGAGGATGACGTATGTCAAATTTTAAAGTGTTACACTGGCATCATAAATCAAGCAAACATAACCTTAAAATGGTCAAGCCATCAGGAGAGGTAGTCTGGTGCACTTTGTGACATAAGCCTGGAAGAATGATGAATCTCACAGTTGCAGAGGTGAGCTACGTTAATCCCCAGGGGAAACTTTGAAAATGTCTTGTCTGGACCTTTTGAGTCGGGAAAGCAGAGTTTCAAGTCTTCAACCTGAGGTATACTTTCAAAGCCTTCTCATTCTGAAGCTATGACTCAAGAATTAATAGAGCTTGAGTTTACCAAAGTGCTAAAATAATTCTTTAATGGGTCATACAACATCCTAGCAGAATGTGAAAGTCGGTGTCAAATGTCAAGCCCAGCACTTTGTGCTCAGCAAAACACAACTTGGATTTCTGGTAGTGCAAGCTAAGCTTTTCACATAAGACATGTGATCTAACCTGAAGTAATCAATCCTGATAGGTAAAAGAGAAAATGCCTGGTTCATCTAAGCAGAAATCCCCAAGGTTATGAAAACCTCTGCCAATTTCTACTCACCACTAAACTTGGTTAGGAACATGCTTTTTGACAGAGCCTCAAGCTGTTACACAAAAACATTTAGAGATTAAGAGCTTTACAATGAAAAATCTCCTCTAGCTCTGGAGATCTGCCTATTCCACAAGACATACAGAGGAAAAAATAGAGAAACTTAGAAAAATTTATTTTTTAAAAAAAGGATGAAGAAAAATGAGTGAGAGAGAGGGGAGGGGAGGGAAGAGGGAGTGAAATGCCTCATAACTCCACCAGGAAGGCAATTATGAGCAGATTACAATTGATTTTCTATCTATTTTCTAACTAAAATAACTACAGTTTGAGGCCGGGAAGTAAGAAAAATTACTCTGATTCTCATTACACCATCTCACCTCTGCTTTTTTTATGGTCTACTTTTAACATATAATTTAGCAATTAAAATGAAGTGTCAATTCTTTCAAGCATAAAAATACGGGCTTGTTCAATTAATGGGTTTCTTGATTCAAACATATGGTACAAATAGTACATTTATTATAAATATTTAGCAAGCTTGGAGACATGAGGCATTTTACACATGACTATACATGATAAGAGATATAAAGCATTGCTCTACAGCTTCAGTCCCTTCATAGAAACAACTCACTGCAGTCCTTGTACATCAGCTTCTTACAGTAGCTCAGACACAGTTTTCAGTACCCCAAGTCAAAAAACAAGGTGTAATCATTTCAATCATTAATAAGGCTGCTGGCTAGCTCCCACGGCAACAAACACTAAGGAAATGACTAAATGATGAAGTATCTTTTGAATAACTTAGAAAAACTTATCTATGACTACCTAGCTACATGTGGGACATTGCTTCAGAGAACAGCAAAAGAAGCAGAATAATATTTACAGAAGAGGAAGAGCAGAAGTTTTACATCACACATTTTTTACCCTTCCTCCTAGATACTATAACCCTCTCTCCCACTTTTTTTACTACTGTTACCCCCTCTGAAGCATTTTCATTTTTAATAATTATTTAAAATACAGATTATGAAGAGATCCATCACTGGAGGCTGAGGCTAGCAAAATCCAGATTATGCTTTGTTTTAATTGAAAAATAAAGAACAACCGGGGGGAAAAGAAAAAAGTGAAGCTCTTGAGACTCTTTAGTACTCAAGGGCAGAATTTTTTTAATAACTGGTTCAAGACAGAAGTTAGGAAGATGAGGCAGAAAATACCAAACAAGATTTTATGACTCCTGTCATGGAAGAAGTCAAACTAAATCACACATCTCTTTTCTACCAAATGGAGTTGTGGCCATTTCTGAGTACAATAAAAACTGACCTGAGCCAAACAAGTTCCTCATTTTACTTCACGCTGACTTTGAAATGCTTTTTCTCCAGCTTGCTAAAAGAGTTACTTTCAATTGTATGTAGCATGTGTAAGACCTCACAAAATAAAATTTTGTAAGGTTTTTGACTTACCCATGTAAAACTGAACAGTAAACGTATAGTCAGTGGGTTTTATCAAGTATTTAACTGCATCTCCAACCTCTTCAAGTTTCACCAACTGCAAACCTAGTTTTCTTCAAAAATATCAACAGCTCTTAACACTGTTGGAACACCAACAATGTTTTTAAAGGTTGGTACAACCCAGAGAAGCAGGCAGTGAAATCACTGCAGCGGAGTGTTGTTCAGCACAGCAGTCAGCATGAAATGCACAATCTGCACAGATGAGTCAAGTCTGGATAATCCCTTCATGCTCTGTCAGCTTGAGAGTATGGTGTTTGTTTTTAAATTGCATACCTTCAATAAACTCAATTTCTCTGCATTCACATTTTAAGACAATATTTTTTTAATGCGTGTTTTGATTTGCAGATGTATAAAAATACTGTTAGTGGAGTTCTGTCTATCAGGATTTCATAAATAATATCTGCCTTTTTAAAAGGATTGCAAATGGTAACGGTAATTGCGGCTCCACTGGGTGACTGCTGCCCAGAAGTCTGGTGTAGTAATAAAGGTGTAATAACCATGGTGAGTTTTGTAGAGAGATTAAATATTTCAAATTGGTTCAACTACATCCATTAGGGGAAAAAAAAAAAAAGTAAGCTTTCGAATTTTCAAGAGTAAGTGGTCTAATTAATAAAGAAAGAAGGGGGAGCAGGGAGAGAGAAAACAGAATTTTTTCCCCCTAATTCCCTAAAATATGCAAAATGTGCAAATGTGTTTTACACTGACATAACATATTCTCTTTAAAACACCAGCATGCTTGAGTTCAGATTCATTCATGACAGATTACACTCTGCCGAAGTGTAGTATCACCCTGGAGCATTGCCAGCTAGAAAATTCAGTTCACTAAGATATATCTAATATCATCCTTGAAGAAGTCTTACTGTCAGCTCACTGGCTTGCTATATAGGCAAATGCTATATGGTGAGGACACAGTGGAAGTACCCTACCAGTTTGAAAACCCAGACATACTTGAATGGTTTATTTTCCTTCTAGATCAAAAGACTGTGCTACTGCTATCTTAAGTATGTACTTAATTGCATAACCCTAAGAGCCGCAATTATGAGTTATGTCTCCACTTTGCAAACACAGATCAAGAGGACAAGACACAGTAAACACGACATTTCAATACATCTGTTGTTCAAGAAACGTGGTGTGCCGTTCCGTGGGATGGATTTACTTAACCCAACTTTCGGCAACACCATCGCTTAAGGGCTGTTTGGCCCTGTCAGAGGTACCAAACCAGAGCCAGGCACGGGAGTGTGAGACAGGGCCAGGTCCGGCCGCACAAGGTGTTGCACAAGCACAGCCCGGCGGAGTTTCCTCCCTCAGGGGCATTATAAAATAGCGTCACCGTTCCACAAATACAACCCTACGTGCCCGGCGCTACTCAGACATGCCTGCAGAATTACACCCAAAGCACACAGGTGATTGAAAATTAATTTTTACGAGAAATTACGACTTAGAAGCCACAGCCAGACCTGAGAATGATGAAACCAACACTTATTACGGTTCGGTTAAACAGAGCAAGCCAAATTACACAGCCTGTCCTCAAACACAAAGCAGAGGGAATAAATCTACACTTTCCTCACAGAATTATTAAAAACAAAACATCCACAAAAACAACCCCAAAGTTAGAAGCAGGGGAACGGCAGGGTAGGTAGAGTACCTGAAACAAGTTTTAAATTCCTTGTCAGGCTGCCGGTGGGCGCGGGTACGCGTGTCCCCGGGGCAGCCGCAGCTCCGGCACGGCCGCGGGCGGGGCGCGGCGCAGCGGGCGGGCCAGCCCGGCGCTGGTCAAGGGGGCACGGCCGCCCCCACCGCCTCGGCCCGCGCCTCCCGCCGGGGTCGGCAGCAAACAGGTCGGGGAAAACTCTCCGGAGGGACAGGGCCTGCCGAGGCGTGGGGCGACCCCGCCGGCCCCTCGGGGCAGAGGGCCGGGGCTATCCGCTCCCTCACCGGGGAAGCGCCGCCGCGCCGCGGCCTCCGCCGCCCGGGCGACCTCCACCGGGCGACCTCAGGGAGGCGCCGGGGGCAGGGCCGGCGCGTGTGTCAACACGGGGCCGCGACTCTGGCCCGGCCCCGGCAATGGGCGGCGCCGGGGCGGGAGCGCGGCGGCCGCGGCCCGGCGCTCACCCGCCGCCATCGCCGGGGCCCGCCCGGGGCCGCCGAGCCCCCGCGGCCTCGCAGCCACCCACCTGCAGCCCGCCGGCAGCCGCTGCTGCGGGCGGGAGGAGCGGCCGCAAGGTCGCCTTCACCTCGCCTACCGCGGCGCCGACACCGCCCGCATCCCCCCGCGGTGCTGCGGGCGGCGCTCCTCGGGGCCCCGCCGGGCCGCCCCTCACCGCCTCCCGCCGGGCACGGCCAGAGCGGGCGGACGGGGGGCATCTGGTGCCAGGGCACCAAGAAACCCGGCGGGGAAGCGACCGGCCCGGCCTCGGCAGCGGCCGTGGATGGTGGGCAGCCGAGGGACACGGCTCAGCCCCCGCGCCGTGGGTTCCCGCCGTGAATTCCCGAAGGTTGCCGCGGTGCCCCCCTCCCTAAACGCCGCTACGTTACCGGCTGGGGCCAGCGGGGAGGGCCTGGGCGGCGCGGCCTGGGCAGCTGGTCCTCCGGCCCGGCAAAGGTCCTGCCGCCATCGGAGAAAACCTCCGGGTGCTCACGGGCGCTCGCTGTGCAAGTGTCCCTGTGCCCCCACCGCCCCGGCTGTGCAGGTGGAGAGAGGGCGGTCGGAAAGCTTTTCGCCAAGGATCACGAACTCCCTTTGTGACAGAGTTGGTAGAGACCTTAATTTCCGTCCCGTGTTCTAATTACGAGATGTTTCCTCCCACCCCGCAGTTACTTTCATGCAGTTGAAGTAATCTACCTCTCACCATCCCACCCAGCCTTCTGTGCTTCTGCCGAGGCGGCTGAGCGCCAGGAGCTGCTTAGAAGATATGAATGAAAGTCTGGTGTTGTCATTACGGCTTGTAGCTGATGGAGCATATCGTATACAAGATAAGATATACAGCCATTGCTACTCACAGGCTGCAAATGTGTGTGTGTGTATATATATATATATATATAGATATAGATATTTAACTGTTATCTGCTCCTATTCTACTATTGGAATTTATAAAAATCTCTTCTGGTACCCGGCAGAAAATGGGCTAAATTTAAAAAAATTTGCATCCAGTTTACACAAATTCTACACAGAAATATGAGCCCAAAGGGGCCACTTTGCAGGGATCATTTTTTCAATAAAATGTGATAGATTTGCCTGGACAAAAGACTGTGGAGGCACAGGGCTATGTTGCTTTCCTATATGTTTCCACAAACCCTCCCTGTTAGACCTCAGATGTAGCCTGTAGAATGATGGCATGATTTTGTTTGTTTGACTCATTCATTACAAAGTTTGTTGAATTTTTCAGTGGATCTCATCTCCATCCTAGGCATGAGTTTGGAGGGTTCAGTTCATGATGCAAAAGGCCACCTCTATCCCTGGGTTAGTTTACTTAGCTGTACAGAAGGAATTTGATGCCTCTACTTAAAAAATTAAAATGCTTCCCTCAGTTCCCTCAGTCCCATATGCTGATGCTGTTTCAGAGCCAGAGTGGTGTCCAAGTGTGACTATGAGCATTAATTTAATAGAGGAAATTGGTGAAAGCAAGATGAAAGAATGACACACTTGCAGTGCTACTTTGCTGCTTATTATGGAAGCCTTTGCCGTTGATTGAGGAGCATATGAGTCAGTTAAAAGCACTAAAGTGCTGGAGAAAATGATTCTCAATTATTAGAATAAGAGAGAACAGAGCAATAAGGAATTGATTTTTAAACTACTTAAATTACAAGAATTTCACATTAACTTATTTTTCTTAGTATACTATAGCTTCTCCTGAGTTTGGCTAAAGGGTCTTTTTTACCTCATCTCCTGTTTTGAAGATCTTGTGATTCTGTAAACCTACAGTACATTGTGAGTGATTAAAACATGCCACTCTTAGGCATGAGTTACATCTGCTCAAATGGGAAGGCTACTCAAAATGAAGTGAGCTGCTTGATATCACTGCACTGCTTGTTGGTAAAACCTCATTTCCTCCTTATTGCCTTAGGAAACAACTTGCTTCTCAATTAAAGTAGGAACAGGATTCTGACTTGGGGGCCAGAAACCAGCATTTTTCTGTTCTGTGACCACACACCCACGATATAGTAATAGTGCTTTTGAAGGACGGGTTGTAAGTGTTAAGACTTTCTTGGGGTAGGACAGTCAGAGGCTGGGGATTTATACGCCTTCAGAACTTCCCGCATCTCCTTCTTCCTTCCCCATTGTATGTCCCCAGTCATTCCTACATCACTGTTCTCCAGGTTTTGCTGAAACTCAGGATTTCCGTAGCTTCTTTGGGACTTTCACATGTTTCACAACACTTTTCTGGTCAGCTAATGAAAGAAAAAGTTGTTAATAAATGAGAATGTTCTCATGGGATTAGTCAGTACTTAAAAGTAAGAAAAGGGAAAATGGGACCAGCTGCCATCTTTGGAAACCAGAACCTCTTCTGTTTCCAGAATCTGTATTGGCGTAACTACAATATAATATAGAATAGCAAAAGTTTATAAACAATACTTTTTCTGTAAAACTGATCTCCTGTATGTGTTAACTCTGATTTCCCTTCTGTCTTCCTTACCAATCTCTGTCAAGTCAAACTTTCATTAACAGCTCTACATCAGTTATCTTTCTTTTTAGTATAAGAAATGCACATTCATCTTTTCAGAATTTCTTTACCTTCTCAATTATGTTGTGCATTTCAGCTATTTTCCATTACTTGAATATTTTCTGCCTCAGACAGGGAATGGCTCTTTTATTCCTTCAGTTGTCCAATGCACTGGCCAGCCCCTGTAATTGAACCTACTCCTCACCCTCTCAGCCTGGGAAACCTGTGTTTTGTGCTTCTAAGGTAACCCCCCAAACTCTCTTCATCCGCCTTGTGTGAGAGACTATCAACATGCCAGAGCAGATAACTGATTTCAGCATAATGTCTTCAGTATCAGTGCCTGTTGCTTTTGTCATGTTAAATAACTGCTGCTTTACTTGAAGGTCCTGAACATTAAGTGTATTTCTTGTTGGCTTTCTACATTGGTTGTTTGAGTACCTTTGGCAGGTAGACACTTATCCTTTCCTAACCTAACCACAGTTATGGTCCCTGATTCCAAACTGACATCCTTGAAATATCCAGATGGTTTGTCACCTCTTTGTTAGCCTTCACCTGGCATTATTTTACCTTTTTTAGCCATCACATTTTGTCCAGATATTTTTTCATCTGAGAATTTTGTGCTGCTTCTGCCATTATTTGCGTGGAAAAGCCTACGTACTTATATGACAAAGCTGCTACAACAATGTACATTTTGTTAATTTATGTTACCACAGCAACTGAGTTATGCAAAAATGTAGTGTTTCATTGTTTGGTATTGCACTTTGGCATTCTGATAAAAAGCTAGGGGAATGTAGTCTGTGCAGCTGCTGTGGAGCTGGGTCTTAACTAGGTAGATAACCATGCCTATCAAGTAGATGTCAACAGCTGCTGTGAAAATGGGCTTACCAGGTAGGATCCTGTAGGAATCTAAATCCAGTTCTATTCATTTCTGTGAGAAATTGCAGGCGTACTGGAAGAGGGGATTAGGACCTTGACATGTAGAAAACTGGTCTAGAAAACATAAGACACAAGTTGGGGGGACAAAAGAAAGGAGCCTAGACAGGTATAAAAATTTGCACAAATTCAGAAAATTAACAAGGTATGAAAAAGTAATCTTCCAGAAAGGAATCTGGAATCTATGATAAGTCACAAGCTGAGTATGAGTCAGCGATGTGTTTTCCTGGCAAAAACAGTAAGCATTCCAGGAAGATAGAGATGTGGGGAGAAATCTGTGGGCTCTATGCAATATTGGTGGGACATCGGTGGAAGGGCTAATTTTGTGCACCACAGCTCAAGAACTATGTGAGCCATCAGGAGTCAGTGCAGTTGGCAACAAGGATGGACAGAGGACTGGGAAGACTGAGGAAGCTGGAGTTGTTCAGGCTAGAGAATAAAAGGCAGAAGACAGACATGCTAAGACTCTTCATATACTTAAAAGGCCATTGCAAAGAGAAGGGGTATGATCTATTCTTAGGTAGGTAGGGTAAGATGTAATGTACTTAAATTGCATCAAGGAGAAAAAGCTTTTCTAATGGTAACATTAGTGAGGCACAGCTTTATCTCACAGGGTGTAATGGTGTCTCTGTTACTGGATGCCTTTAAGTATGTACTGGACAAATATTAAGTACTATTGATCTGGCATTGGAATTGGAGGATGGACTAAGTGACTAATCATGGTCTGTTACAGACCTATTTTTCTGTGATTACATATAATCTGAGCCTTCTCATTAATCATCATTTCTTTATCCAGTCCTATTGTACATTCTGTTTTCTTTTCAAGTCAGATCCCTGGTCATCTCTCTGTTCTCTGAAGGACAAAAGAATGCTTCGTCCCTTTTTCTTTCTGTATAGTTAAGGCCAAAGCTTTTATAATTTTTTTTTGGTAGCCCACAACATACACAAACTGATGAATTACGTTGTATTTTACTGCTGAGATAACTATTATAATTACATATGAGTCAAACTCGCAATAAAAATTATTTAGATGACTGTTGCGACCTATTCAGACATGTTCTACATAAACTGTACAAAATGCTAACATAAATCTAAGATTCTCTAGTCATATACTAGAAAAAA